CAGGTGGGGCTCCGCTACCAATGACAAAGTAGCGTCGCCCCACCTGGGGCAGCAACAGCGGCACTTTTCCTGATATGCGGGCGCTCCAGCCGCAAAGGTCCGCTGCGGCATGCACAAGCCCTTGTGGATTGCCCATGAAATCACACATATATATATTATATAATATATATTATATATTATATATATATATTATATATATATTATATATATATTATATATATATATTATATATATATATTATATATTATATTATATATTATATATATATTATATATCTACCATAAACCATAGTAATTGGAGTTATTTGCACCAACTTTTCGTTCACGACCTGGGGCACCGCTCAAAAAAACCCATTTCCCGATGTGTTTTACACCCGCTGGAAACCATGGGTAAAGTACCAGGTATTCCATATATTCCTCTGCGGGTCCGTATCAGGACGGTAGTTGATATTAGGGGGATGGGAACACACAATACAAATGTTTTTTTTTGGGATATGTTTTAAATACATAATTTCTAAAAGTGGGTTTTACAAAAAGGGCCTAGGGGATCGACGTCATCAGTGAGCATGGCTTTGTTCCTGGTGTGTTTGATGTGGGTCAGAGCTTTGGGCTGTTAATTGAAAGGTTCAAGTGCTATTGGAAATATTTCTTGCGACCAGCTTTCCCAACACTTGAAGATGACTACAACGCGGCCAAGCACTGCACTTGCTTTGGCCTATCTACATTGTCAGCCTTTCCTTTGCACTTGAAACTTCGACACCCCAAAGCACTTTGGTCAATTTTGATTCAGGCTTCTCTTTATTGTAATAAGGAATCCACTGGCTTCCGGAATTGTAGATCCCATTGGGTCCCTGATTGGAATCTGGTTTGATATCCTGCGATATGTTCTGCCATCAAATGCATGTCTCTTAGAGTTCGTTATTGCCATCGGCTTCGAGATGCTTGCCTGCAAGGTAAACAAGAGAGGGAAAAAATTATCGAAGGAAGTTTAGAAGTCAAACTTCCGACAATACGGAGAGATGAAAAAGCAGTCAGCAGGGAGAAGAGTCAGAAGAGAAAAGATCAGAAGAAAGAAGATGCAGGTGCGCGAAAAGGTAGGAAAGTCGCGAAACATTGTGTTTTTTCGTGGTTTTGTGGCTCCGGAGGGTCGAAAAGTAGGCTCGCTAAAGCGGCGGGTGCGGAGACATCTGGGGAGATGAGAGATGAAAAGTTGCACGCCGCTGTGGCGCGAAGCCGATTTCGAAGTGAAAAGGTGCAAAACACCTCAGCGCCGGACCACTTTTGGAAGTTGAGATGTTGAAAAAGTGCATGGCGTTGTGGCGCGAAGCACATTTGGAAGTAAAATGTGTTAAAAACTGAGGGGTTCGGAGCAGTTTTGGAAGTTGAGATGACGAAAAAGTGCACGGAGCACTTTTGGACGTTGAGATGTCGAAAAAGCGTACGGCGTTGTGGCGCGAAGCACATTTGGAAGTAAAAAGTGTTAAAAACTGGCGGTCTCGGAGCACTTTTGGAAGTTGAGATGTCGAAAAAGTGCACGGCGTTGTGGCGCGAAGCACATTTCGAAGTCAAAAGTGTTAAAAACTGAGGGTCTCGGAGGCATTTTGGACGTTCAGACGTCGTTTTGTGTGGCATGTGGAGTGGATTGTGCATCCACTGACAAGTGACTAAAACGTGAGGGTTTTGTAGCATTTTCAAAAACGATGGCAGGCGTGGGAGATTTGAAGAGGATCTGCACAGATGCATTTTTCGTGGCAGGCGCAGTACAAGAGGCATCTTCAGCAGAGATGTTCGGAGCTCAAGGAGCTGATTTCCTGAGAGGGGTTGCATTTTGGCGTATCAAATCATCAGCTATGCCAAGATGCTTTTTCGTGACAGGTGCAGCATTTCGTATGACCTGGACTAACTTTTTCGTGGCAGGCGCAGTACTTTAGAGACATGGCATGGAAAAGTCGCAAAACGCGTTGGTACGAGGCCGTCAGCTGTACAGTCAACTTTCCATTTTTGAAGGAAGTCTCGCAGAATTGCTTCGTTTTTGATGTTTTCAACTGCAAAAAGTGAGAAAGTCTCGCAGAATTGCTTCGTTTTTGATGTTGCCAACAGAAGTCTAGCAGCATTGTTTTGTTGTCGACGTGGCGGCTAGACAGATTGATCGACAGATGGACACATAGATCGCTAGATCGAAAGATCGCTAGAAGCGTCGATGACCAGATAAACGCATGGGTAGCTAGATAGATGGATGGATAGCTGGAAGAAGAGGTAGACGGACAGATGCATGGATGAATCGATAGAGAAACAGAACGGAGAACATGGTGATGGATAGCTGTGGACATGGATGGATGAAGAGATGGACGGAAAAAAAAACTAACAGAGAGAAGTAAGTGGATGGATGAATGGCTGGATAGACAGAAAGATAGACAGTCTAATAGATAGGTGAATAAACAAATCGATCGATAGATACATGAATAGACAGGTAGATAGGTAGATGGCTAGAAAGGTAGCTCTGTAGATGGATGGCGAAAGAGAGACACAGAGAGAAAGAGAGAAAGAGAGACAGAAAGGGAGAAACACTCAACCACCTTTCAATCCATCAGTGGGTTCGCTCTGCCATTTTTGCGTCACACCAACTCATCTCTCCTATAGGTTTTCCATTTTTGAAACTTCCGCCACCGCCTTGTGCGGTACTACTGGTATTATTATATTCTGTAGATCCATCGTTTTGCGGCTAAAGTCATCTATAAATCCCATATTTTGGTCAATTCAACTGGCAACACACAGCCCAATGATTCATCAATGGACCATTCACCAGGTCATTGACCACTTAGACGGCCCCTAAGCCCCAAGTTTACCGATCCTTTAGATCGTTTCAGCCAGCATTAACGGACTCACTGCAACACCGTGTAACCCAAAATACGTACAGCATGCACTGACTCACACTGGCAATGCATTACCAGCGTCTATGTGCTTACCTCACGTTTTTGACTCAATTTTTGGCGTGAGTACCAATTTTGATAATCTAACATAGTTATTGAACGCCACCTTTTCAACTGGTTTGTTTCATGGTACATAATCTACATTTCGCGCCCAAAAAAGCTATGATATGTTGGATGATTTAGGACTGTATAGATGTAGGTAGCTCACCTAGAAATGGGATCAATGAGCCATCCCATAGCAAACCATCCATTCAATGGCCACATACCATTAATTTATATCCTATTGATATGGGAAAATAACTCCTTGCATCTATATCATCTATACGAGCTAGCACACAACGTTTGCTTTTACCAACGGCTGCCCATCATTTTCCATGGCAAACATAGTATTATAAATGATATTATTGTTGGTTACCCTCTGGTAAATTAACATAGACCCTGAAAATAGCCTAGTTTTAATGGAAACTAATCTTCCAAACCCTATCTGCCAGGGTCTATGTTAATTTACCAGAGGGTAAATATCCCGGAACATGTCCAGTTGTATCCCATGATCCAATGGAATATCATCAAATATCTCCCGAAAAAACATGCTTGGTATATCCCCATTGACAATTTAAATCCCTCAAACAGAATATCCCGATGGATATTCTGATTCTTCCTTAAGTATAATTCGATGAAGTTGGTGAAGTTGGTGATATTTGATCCATGACATATCCCATGAAGTCCCTATTCTAGGTCAACCGACTGGTTAGATACGAACTAGTACTTGAATCTTTTGCAATTTCAATAGGCAGATCTAGCTTCACCAACATGAATACCCTCTGGTAAACGTTAACAAAAAACTATGGGAAATCACAATTTTTGATGGGTAAATCAACTATAAATGGCCATTTTCAATAGCTTTGTAAACGTTTACCAGAGGGTGGTTCAACAGTGAAGCAACTGTGAACTGTAGGTCATATACCAAAATCATGCAAAATCCTCCGAAACCCTGGCATTCAGAAGAGTATATCTGGATGGTATACAGAAGAAATCCCATTTTCAAACAGAGAACTCAATGGATTGGTTGGGAACATCGGGTTTTCATCGATTTTCCCATATTTAGATGGGGCTTAAACCAGTAAATTTTCTAAACCACTCCATTGATAATCATATTGCTTCATTTTCTAGCGTAACTATGGAAAATCACCATTTTATAATAGCTAAATCATGATAAATCAACAATTTCCATGGGAATATTGATGATGAATGCTGTAGGATGCTGGTCTAGTTCACTATGGTTATTGATACCCAACATGAATGGTTTCCCTGATGGTTAGCCAACATTGACTGTAGGTCATAAACATCAAAATCCCTATTGATGGTCAGAATCCCTATCGATGGCTTGATATTAGTTATTGAATATGTTATTCCATATTGAATACTTGTAGGGGTTAATATACCCATATTCATCAAGTATCGATTATCTGTTATTCAAGTATCACTATCGATTAATAACCAATCTTATTGATTAGTAACCAATATCAATATCAATATCGTATTGGTTAATTGCCGACAATGATGCCCTCTGGTTATTTAACGTAGCGAACTGGAGAATCACCATTTTAAATAGGCAAATCATCATGTTTAACATCGATTTCTATGGGCCATGGCTTCCATGGTTATGTTAAATAACCAGAGGGTATATATGATGATATATGGAGGTTTCCTAAAATAGGGCTACCCGAACTCATTACTGATAGTAGTATTGAAACATATTGAAACCTACGAACTATTTAAACCAATCCATTGATAATCCAATGGTGATTTAATAGGGATATTTTCCTGGTGACTTAATGGTGATTAACCCTTATTGGTGGTTTGGAACATAATGGTGACTGGTTGGTGGTGACTGGAACATCTGGATGATTGTTCCATAGATAGCGTTCAGTTGGTGCAAATAACTCCAATGTCACTATGGTTTATGGTACGCAAATAACGAACTAGTTACTGGGGCGAATCTAAACCAACAAACATCACTGGGGGCCCTCACATTGGTAGGTGAACCAATCCCCATGGTCTCCTGCGCCAGGACTGGTCTCCTGCGGCAAGATCTGACCGGCCGCTGCGTGAGCCCTGTGAGCTGTGAGGAGGAGGCGGCTTTGCAGGCGGAGGCGGAAAACGGAGGGCTGGGGCTGGAGATGGCTGGGGAAACCCAGGGAAAATGGTGGATTGTCCTAGGGAAAATGGTGGTTTTGAGTGGTTGAAGCATGTTTGATCTGGAAAAACAGGGTGCATTTCACCAACAGAAATGGTGATTTAACATGATTTAACCATTTAGAGATTGAAATGAACATTTCAGCAAGAACATTGCCATTTAATGGGTTGAAACTGAGATTTGAATAAGAAGAGTTGATGATCCAACTACTGGTAGCCAAAATTGGAATGCAACCAAGTGAAACTGGGATTTCAGTCAGAAAAGCAGGATCTCTGAGCAATTTGCCAAAGATTGTTTCACCATATTCCAACAGCGTAATGCTTGGTTTGTTGGTAGCCATTATTCGTGGCTATACTGCCATTTGTCCATCCCACCGATTCCTCTGTTGAAATTTGGACGTTTCCATACAAGTTGTCGACTGGTCGAGATTGAAGGAACAGGTTTGTCCTAGTAATGGGCAGGTTTCTGCAAGAGCATGCTGGGCTTAAGGGTAGACCCTAAAGACTGCATATTTCCTAGCTGTTTTGGCTCATTCGTTTGGCCCAATAGGTGCCAAGTCTCTATTATCCTCCCAATGGTTTCTGCCGGCTTCGATCACACAGTACTCCTCAGAAGTGATGGCGAGGCTGTGGCTTGCGGACTGAATGATTTCGGACAATGCGACATTCCATGTTTGGAAGACGGGATAAAATATACCCAAGTTTCTGCCGGCCAACAGTACAGCGTACTTCTCAGGAGTGATGGCATTGCGGTGGCTTGCGGAATGATTTTTTTTGGACAATGCGACATTCCGCCGTTACCTGATGGAATGACATACACCCAGGTTTCTGCAGGCCTGTATCACACAGTACTTCTTAGAAGCGATGGCATTGCGGTGGCTTGCGGAACGAGTAAACAATGCGACATTCTCACACAGTACTTCTTAGAAGCGATGGCAACGCTGTGGTTTACGGACAGGATGATTTTGACCAATGCGACATTCCGCAGTTAGCTGACGGAATGACATACACCCAGGTTTCTGCAGGTGGCGGCCACACAGTACTTCTCACAAGTGATGGCGTTGCTGTGGCTTGCGGACAGAATGATCTTGGACAATGCGACATTCCGCCGTTAGCAGCCGGAATGACATATACCCAGGTTTCTGCAAGCATGTATCACACTTTACTTCTCAAAAGTGATGGCAATGCTGTGGCTTGCGGAAGGCATTCGGATGGACAATGCACCATTCCACAATTGGATGACGGAATTTCATATACCCAGGCTTCTGCTGGCGACCATCACACAGTACTTCTCAGAAGTGATGGCAGGGCTGTGGCTTGCGGACTGAACGGTGATGGACAATGCGACATTCCGACTCTTGATCCAGGGACTTGGTACGCTGCAGATGTGTCAGTTGGTAGAAACCTTGTGTTGCAACTAGATTGTTCTTGCCAAGCTGATGCTATGCTGCTGACTTTCTCTGGTTTGACTGGGGAGGAAGTGATGCACTTGAATGCAAGTCCATCTGATCCTGCCTGGAATACGCAGAAACGCATCGCGCGTGAATTGAAGGTTCCACTCCAAAGTCTTCGAGTGGTTTTACCCGATGGACAGTTGTTGGCCTCAGCCTGCCGTGCGAACCCAGGAGCTAGCCTTGCAGATGTCATTGAAACTCGCAAGCGTCGGCGTCTCACCTAGGTTCGGAGCAGAATTGGATCGGAAAAGTTGAGGTCCTAGAGGAAGGGCCCCTCTAGATAGGTAAGTTGGTTTGGTTTGACCTATGGAACAAGAGAGGTCTATCCAAAAAATCACCTCCAGTTGACCTAGTTTTGAGCCAACTGAGCCAACTACAGATCCAATTTTTTTCTTGTTTAAATCACCATTTACCCATCACCAAAAAACGTTCTGTAAGAATGACCCGTGCTTAAACAAGTGGCGACCGGGTCTGCAGGGTCGTGGGTAGCTGCGGACGATGATGGTACATGACTCGCAGCAATTTTTGTTGGCCACGTACAGGTATGGGTTCATGCAATTTATATATATATAAATATATTATACATCATATATATATATATTATACATCATATATGGATTATCAATTCCACTTTTGTGAGTTTATCATATTTTCATTTTAGACCAAACAAAATCCAAAAAAGTTACGGCTTTTGGATCTTTCCATGGAACAAATTGGGCTGTACATATCTCCACGGGATTTGTTGCCCCACTCTCTTTGTGTTGCAAGGAGTTAGATGGGGAGCATCCCAGACAGTGCCCTTGGTTCACAAGTCGCCGATTTCTGGGTTGTAGCCACTTTTTTTGCGTTCCCGGGCTCGTGAATTTCACCAACAGAAAATGGTGATTCAACCACTAAGAACTAAACATTATTAAACATTAACATTTCAGCAAGAACAAAACAACCTTTTACTGGTTGAATCTGGGAATTTGCATAACAACATTTGGTGATCGAACTTTGGACTAGCAACAGTTGGAGTGCAACCAAGTGAAACTGGGATTTCAGTCACAAAAGCAGGGTCTTTGAGCATTTGCCAAAGATGGTTTCTTCATATTTTAAGAGCTCACAAACTCTTTTGCAGGCCACAGGTATCTGGGATCAACAACGTAATGCTTGGTTTGTTGGTAGCCATTATTCGTGGCTATACTATGCTATACTATGCTATACTGCCATTTGCTTACCCCACCAATTCCTCTGTTTGAATATGGTCGTTTCCATACAAGTTGTCCACTGGTCGAGATTGAAGGAACAGGCTTGTGCTAGTAATGGGCAGGTTTCTGCAAGAGCGTGCTGCGCTTGCTCCGAAGGGTAGACACCAACGACTGCATATTTTCTTAGCCGTTTTGGCTCATTCGTTTGGCCCAATAGGTGCCAAGTCTCTACTTCCTCCCAATGGTTTCTGCCGGCTCCGGTCACACAGTACTCCTCAGAGGCGATGGCAATGCTGTGGCTTGCGGAACGAATCATTTTGGACAATGCGACATTCCACGTTTGGAAGACGGGATAAAATATACCCAAGTTTCTGCCGGCCAAAAGTACAGCGTACTTCTCAGGAGTGATGGCATTGCGGTGGCTTGCGGGACGAACGGTTGTAAACAATGCGACATTCCGCCGTTACCTGATGGAATGACATACACCCAGGTTTCTGCAGGCCATTTTCATACAGCACTTCTTAGAAGCGATGGCGTTGCTGTGGCTTGCGGATCGAATTTTTGTGGACAATGCGACATTCCACCGTTACCTGATGGAATGACATACACCCAGGTTTCTACAGGCACGGCTCACACAGTACTTCTTAGAAGCGATGGCAACGCTGTGGTTTGCGGACAGGATGATTTTGACCAATGCGACATTCCGCAGTTAGCTGGCGGAATGACATACACCCAGGTTTCTGCAGGTGGCAGTCACACAGTACTTCTCACAAGTGATGGCGTTGCTGTGGCTTGCGGACGGAATGATCTTGGACAATGCGACATTCCGCGGTTAGCAGCCGGAATGACATATACCCAGGTTTCTGCAAGCATGTATTACACTTTGCTTCTCAGAAGTGATGGCAATGCTGTGGCTTGCGGAAGGCATTCGGATGGACAATGCACCATTCCACCATTGGATGATGGAATCACACATATACCCAGGTTTCTGCTGGCGACAATCACACAGTACTTCTCAGAAGTGATGGCGTTGCTGTGGCTTGCGGACTGAACGCTCAAGGACAATGCAACATTCCGACTCTTTATCCAGGAACTTGGTACGCTGCAGATGTGTCAGTTGGTAGAAACCTTGTGTTGCAACTAGATTGTTCTTGCCAAGCTGATGCTATGCTGCTGACTTTCTCTGGTTTGACTGGGGAGGAAGTGATGCACTTGAATGCAAGTCCATCTGATCCTGCCTGGAATACGCAGAAACGCATCGCGCATGAATTGAAGGTTCCACTCCAAAGTCTTCGAGTGGTTTTACCCGATGGACAGTTGTTGGCCGCAGCCTGCCGTGCGAACCCAGGAGCTAGCCTTGCAGATGTCATTGAAACTCGCAAGCGTCGGTGTCTCACCTAGGTTCGGAGCGGAATTGGCTCGGAAAAGTTGAGGTCCTATACAGGAAGGGCCCCTCTAGATAGGTGAGTTGGTTAGGTTTTACCTATGGAACAACAGAGGTGTATCCAAAAAATCACCTCCAGTTGACCTAGTTTTGAGCCAACTACAGATCCAATTTTTTCTTGTTTAAATCACCATTTATATACCCATCACAAAAAAACGTTCAATAAGAATGACCCGTGCTTAAACAAGTGGCGACCGGGTCTGCAGGGTGGCTGCGGAAGATGATGGTAGACTCGCAGCAATTTTTGTTGGCCACGTACAGGTATGGGTTCATGGAAGATATATATATATATACATATACATATATATATACATATATATATATTATACAGTACATCATATATGGATTATCAGTTCCACTTTTGTGAGTTGGCCTCATATTTACATTTTAGACCAAACACAATCCAAAAAAGTTACGTTTTTTGGATCTGTTGCCCCACTCTCCACTTTGGGTTGCAAGGAGTTAGATGGGGAGCATCCTGGACAGTACCCATGGTTCACAAGTCGCCGATTTCTGGGTTGTAGCGCCTTTTTTGCGGTCCCTGGTTGGTGAATTTCACCAGAAAATGGTGATTCAACCACTAAGAACTAAACATTATTAAACATTAACATTTCAGCAAGAACAAAACAACCTTTAACTGGTTGAATCTGGGAATTTGCATAACAAAATTTGGTGACGAACTTCGAACTAGCAACAATTGGAATGCAACCAAGTGAAGCTGGGATTTCAGTCACAAAAGCAGGGTCTTTGAGCATTTGCCAAAGATGGTTTCTTCATATTTTAAGAGCTCACAAACTCTTTTGCAGGCCACAGGTATCTGGGATCAACAACGTAATGCTTGGTTTGTTGGTAGCCATTATTCGTGGCTATACTATGCTATACTATGCTATACTGCCATTTGCTTACCCCACCAATTCCTCTGTTTGAATATGGTCGTTTCCATACAAGTTGTCCACTGGTCGAGATTGAAGGAACAGGCTTGTGCTAGTAATGGGCAGGTTTCTGCAAGAGCGTGCTGCGCTTGCTCCGAAGGGTAGACACCAACGACTGCATATTTTCTTAGCCGGTTTGGCTCATTCGTTTGGCCCACTAGGTGCCAAGTCTCTACTATCCTCCCAATGGTTTCTGCCGGCTCCGGTCACACAGTACTCCTCAGAGGCGATGGCAATGCTGTGGCTTGCGGAAGGAATCATTTTGGACAATGCGACATTCCACGTTTGGAAGACGGGATAAAATATATGCAGGTTTCTGCAGGCCATCTTCATACAGTACTTCTCAGGAGTGATGGCATTGCGGTGGCTTGCGGAACGAACGGTTGTAAACAATGCGACATTCCGCCGTTACCTGATGGAATGACATACACCCAGGTTTCTGCAAGCATGTATCACACAGTACTTCTTAGAAGCGATGGCGTTGCTGTGGTTTGCGGACTGAATGATTTTGGACAATGCGACATTCCACCGTTACCTGATGGAATGACATACACCCAGGTTTCTACAAGCACGGCTCACACAGTACTTCTTAGAAGCGATGGCAACGTTGTGGTTTGCGGACAGGATGATTTTGACCAATGCGACATTCCGCAGTTAGCTGACGGAATGACATACACCCAGGCTTCTGCAGGTGGCGGTCACACAGTACTTCTCACAAGTGATGGCGTTGCTGTGGCTTGCGGACAGAATGATCTTGGACAATGCGACATTCCGCCGTTAGAAGCCGGAATGACATATACCCAGGTTTCTGCAAGCATGTATCACACTTTACTTCTCAGAAGTGATGGCAATGCTGTGGCTTGCGGAAGGTATTCGGATGGACAATGCACCATTCCACAATTGGATGATGGAATTTCATATACCCAGGTTTCTGCCGGCAGCAGTCACACAGTACTTCTGCGAAGTGATGGCAGGGCTGTGGCTTGCGGACTGAACGCTGATGGACAATGCAACATTCCGACTCTTTATCCAGGAACTTGGTACGCTGCAGATGTGTCAGTTGGTAGAAACCTTGTGTTGCAACTAGATTGTTCTTGCCAAGCTGATGCTATGCTGCTGACTTTCTCTGGTTTGACTGGGGAGGAAGTGATGCACTTGAATGCAAGTCCATCTGATCCTGCCTGGAATACGCAGAAACGCATCGCGCGTGAATTGAAGGTTCCACTCCAAAGTCTTCGAGTGGTTTTACCCGATGGACAGTTGTTGGCCGCAGCCTGCCGTGCAAACCCAGGAGCTAGCCTTGCAGATGTCATTGAAGCTCGCAAGCATCGGCGTCTCACCTAGGTTCGGAGCAGAATTGGATCGGAAAAGTTGAGGTCCTATACAGGAAGGGCCCCTCTAGATAGGTAAGTTGGTTTGGTTTTACCTATGCAACAAGAGAGGTCTATCCAAAAAATCACCTCCAGTTGACCTAGTTTTGAGCCAACTACAGATCCACCATTTACCCATCACAAAAAAAATATGTTATAACCCCAACCTATGATTGGACCCAACTTACCCTACTTATTGGACCTTGGGTTTTTTGAGCCACCCGGGATGAGCAGGACTGCAAGCTCTACCTTCCGGACCGCAACAATCCTCAGAAGTGGATGGTGAAC